CCTCTCTTCTTCTTTCTGGTTTTTACTGGTGGGTGACATCTAACGTCTAACATCTAAGATGTATTATTGCCATCTACTGTGCTGGAGTGTGGGCCAGAGTATCTCCCTTTGATCTAAATTTTTATAAATAACTGCTTTATTTATTTTATGATTAATTTTATTGTACATCATATTCAGAGATGGCAAAAGTACTCGCTTTCCGTACTTGAGTAAAAGTACAGATACTTGTGTTAAAAAATACTCTGATAAAAGTGGAAGTACTGATTAAACTTCTTTACTCAAGTAAAAGTAACAAAGTACAGGCTTGTAAATTTACTTAAAGTATAANTTTCTATTCTAAAAGCATGAAGGACTCTGGGCCCTGAGGACCAGCACAGGGGACCGCTCCACTCATTAAATGAAAATGTGATCATTGCTCTAACTATGATTATCTACTAAATGTATCCTAACAGAACTCAGAACATTTCTGCAATTTTTCTAAAGAGTTATTTTAATTTTTTTTAACTATTTTTTTATTTTTAAAGAGTAACTCTAAATAGTTTTATTCATATTGATTTCCAGGTTATTGTCTTATTTTGGATTGCTTATGTTTTAAAACCTCTGAAGAATCGGATATCAAAATTCAGATTTGCTTTTAGGTAGACCCCATGTTCAGGATCACGCATATCTTTATTTCCTACGCTTTGAACGTGTATCACTTGTTTTCAAAAAGTTGTTTTTTTAAGCATTTCATCCCTTCAATTTTGTATTAACTGCTTTTTCTATATGTATGTAAATTAAAGTGAAGGTTTTGTGGATGTGTGTGCCTTTGCCATCTTTTTATGTAATAGATCCACACAATCGAAACATTCTCTACATCAAGAAGTCTGGATGGGCAGAATTATGACTTTTTAAATAAATCCTGTTTTTAGATCCAGATGCTTTAACAAGCAAACAGCATGGGTGCATTTAAAGAAACAGACGCCCGGTGCAGGGTTACTCTGGCAGGCCTTTTTATCATAAAAGCAGCTTCAGCAAACTTACATTCAAAATATCTTGAATTGGTTTTTGACTAGACATATAAGTTAATGAAGATATCTGTATTGTTATTCTGACTAGTCGAAATAATGCAAGATTTGCTATTCATTTGTCTGGGTTCTCCAGTTTAAGATATTAGCAAAACATTACTGACGATCTGAAATTCAGAAATCAATTGAATTATGACTAGTCATAAATTCAATTTCAGGTATCTCACCTTATGTTCTGACTAGTAACAAATCAGGTTAAAGATATCTTAAATTACCTCGTTATTCAAGACACAAGATCTAAAAACTAGTTTGAGATATCTTGAACATTTTTTTTTAAATCTAGACCGACCTTGTATTTCAGATATTTTGAATTATCATTCAGAATCGTCAAAATCACGTTGCATTTTTGGTGGAAATCTAAAAAGTGCATCTGCTATATAAATTAGGCTTAATTAAGTCTTAGATATAT